AATTGTGTGTTGATCATTCCTTTCTTTTTCTTTGGAGCTTCCCCCCTTCTATCTGTGTACGTTTCTGAGTAAATCTGTTTAATAGATGTAGTCACGTGCTGGTGCGTGTGGCGGTTCTTTATTCTTTGTGCGTATTACACACACAGTGCGCGCATATGCGTGTGTGTCTAGGATTCGTTTACATGTGTCTGGTGCTCAGTTTTTGTTACGTCTGCCTGCTGTTTAGGTTGTGCACAGTTGTTTGCTGTTACAAACAGCCCTTCCATGGTGTTCACACGTGTGTTTCCCGGAGCACATGTGCAAGAACGTCCCTGCTTGTGTGCCTGAGAAGGGAAGTGATGAGCGCAGGGATGCGTGGTTGGCGCTGTGAGTTAGTACCAAGTTACCCTACACTCGCACCCTTTGACCGCCTCACTGGCAGCATGTGAGGGCGGCCATCTTCCCTCTCGCCACATGCCACTTTTAGTGAGAAAATACAGCCTAAAATGCAAGTATTAGTGTTATGACACAGATGGCTTTAAGAATGATTATTTCCTTACAAAAGAACTCTTTGATCCGTTTTTAAAAGGTATCGAATTCTGCAGAGTATCTCTGGGCACCAAAGTGGGGAAGAAGAAACTAGTGATTCTATTTCTACCCTCTCGGAGAGAGAGGTATCTAGAACAAGTAACTGCTGAACCCTGGGCGTGGCTTCCTGATGTAAATACTTGGTGGAATGGGGATGTCAGTTGGAGCTGTTGGAGTTGGTGGAATTGAGCGAAAGCCAGGCTGTCGAGGCGAGACCGGGTTCTGCGGAACGTTGAAACCAGGAACAGGAGTTTGAATAGGAGGAGAGTAAGGACTCACCATGGATTCTCCAGGGGGGCAATAATCTGCCAAATTGGTTATTTTCAAAATAAAGTACCAGCAGAACACACAGCACGGACCAGAGAGAAGACAGCTGCTGGTCTGCGGCAGGGCGGGGTTGGGGGGTGCTGAGAAACTGGCCGGAGGCCCCTGCGGCCTCCCTAGCCCCCTCCTCCACTCTGAGTGTGGACAGAGGCAGAGTGCTGTTCTCATGTGGTTGCATTTTAAATCACAGAGCCTTGTCTTTCGAAGTGACTTAGAAAGAAAAGAAGGGAAGAAGGGGGGGAGGGAGGAAGAACAGAAGCTCTTCCAGGCCTCTTATAACTCCGTCTGTATCGCTTCATGTTGCCCGTACGTTTCTTCCCTTTGACTGGACGTTGGAATGGACCTGAGTTAATCTGCCCAGTCGTGGTTCCCGTCTGTGTCGGGTAGATGTGTGCCCCTCCAGCTGCCCCCATTTCCCGCCGTGATGACCCTTGGACACGTGTTGCCCGCTGTGCCAAGTTCAGTTTGCCCTCTTGGGTTTTGCTGTTCCCCTGTGCTTTTTAGTGTAGATGTTGGGACATCTGCTAATTTATGCAAGAGAGAAGTGGTGTTGCAAAGATATTCTTAGCTTATTTAATTAGGAGACAGTCTCTTAAACCTTTAAGAGGAGAAATCTGTTTGCATTTCAGAGCTGTTACTGATTTTTGTGATGTATGGCACTTGTGCTGAGCAGTAAAGACCATGGTTCTTCCTTTTAAAAAGCCATCTCTGCAGCTTAGTGGGAAAGTGTTTACTAAAACATTGTTGACCAGACACTTCTTTTCTGAAGACTCCTAGCACCTCTTCAGAAACTCCATGAAGACTCAGATACTGGATTTCCTC